CCGCGACGCCGACGTGGAGGGAATCGCGAGGCGGAGCTCGCGGAGGTGCGCGCGATGCGCGTGGAGGGCGTCGATCACCGCCGCGACGGCGCGGATGCGATTGCCGCAGAGATCCACGTAGGCGAGGGCGGCCTTCGCGGGGATCGAACGGAGCCCGGTGAGGTCCTCCAGCCGGTTAAACCCCAGCGCGATCCACTCCAACGACTTCAGCGAGGAGAAAACGCCGTCGGGGAGGGACGTGATAAAATTGCTCGACAGATTCAGCCGTTTGAGGGCGAACAAGCCACGGAAGGCCTCGGCCGCGTCGAGTTCGTGAATCTCGTTCGCGGAGAGATCCAACTCGACGAGCTGATGCAGCGCGGTGAGGCCCTCCACCCGCCGGATCGCGTTCATATGCACGCTGAGCGACCGCAGCGAATGCATCGCTTCCAGCCCTTGGATGTGCCGAAGCGAAACGAGGCCACGACAGCAGAGGAAGAGCGATCGCGGAGAGGGAATTTCCTGCTCGGCAGCCTCCGCATTTGTTTTCGAAGTCGACAACCCCGCAGGGGATTGACGGGAACGCGGTAAAACGGCGAGCGTCGTCGCCTTTTGAGCGCTAATCCGCGGCTTTGGAGCTACTTTTCTGCTGGATAAGATGCTGCTATCCATTTCTATGGGAGAGGTTGTTATCTATCCAATGTGTACAAATCCATACCACTACCTGCCCTTCTCCCTACGTATGCTATGCAAAGTTAGGGTTATCTATTCGGGGCTTCTCGAGTGTCTATATTTATCGTATCTATCTGAGATTAATAATAATAAAAAAGATGCGATAATAGCCTTTCTGATGGGTTCTTGAAAAATGATTATATCCTGTATTCCAGCTAACAAGCTGGGAGAAAGGCTATTCAAAAAAGATGAATCACGTACTGTGGGACAAGGGATCCATGAATACAAAATAAAAACATATCATTATGGAAGGGGGAGATTTACACTCTTTGCTCATGTAGATATCAATGATAGCCATAAAAGCTTTTCGACTAGATATAAGTCAATCAGGCGCACGTTTCTTATGCGAAAAGGATCCGCCTCTCATTTTTCTTCTATCTCTTTTTTCTTGTCGTCGTCATTGTGCTATCCAATCATACTACGCTTACGCCCCCTCGATCGCACCACCTCCAGCCGATCCAGCGTCGCCTTTCCTTTCTTCGGCTCCACCACGTTCAGATACCCTTCCAGAATCACACCCGACGCGATTGATTGCAAATACGGATGCGCCGATACCACCGCGCGCTCGAGAACGTACAAATCAACGGCGCGTTCCTCCGCGCTGGTTTTATCCGCGACGAGGCCGAAATCGATCACGACGAGGCTTTTACGCGCGCCGGAGGGCATCAACGCCGGGGGGTAAAGCCCCCGCGCGGGGCCCTCGCCGTGGGTGTCGTCCTCGACCATAAAATTGCACGTCGTGAGGTCGCCGTGGATGACGTCGGCGTTGTGGAGCTGCCCGACGACCTCGCCAACACCGCGGAGGAGCTGCTGCGCGTAGGGCGTCGCCGCTCCACCCTCCTCATTTCCACCTCCTGCCTCCCTTTGCGAGCACTGCTTGAGTTCGTTGTCTAACACCACCTTTAAGGTTTGCCCTTTGATGTGCTCCATGATGATTTTGCAATCCTTACGATTCACGGCGTACACGGCCGGGCAGCGAATCCCGTGTTTCCGGCAACGCGCAAGCGCACGAGCCTCGCGTAGGGTGCGCTGCTCACGTAGCTTCTTATCTAGCTTCGCGTGGCGATATTGCTTCTCAAAGCGATGCTTGCAGACCGCCGGGAGGCCGTAGAAATCGGCCATGTAGATTTTCGACTCCGCACACTGGGAGATCTGCTCGACAAGCGTGAAGGTGTAACATTCCCGAGACGACTCCATTGTGGTTTAGTTCCCAATCTTTGTTCGACTATACACTACGCGAGGGGAAAAAAGACCATAAGGGGGATCTGCGTCAGCACAAACACGTATTCGAGATGAAAGGCAAGCAAGCAAAACGATTCAAAACACTCCAACGCACATCGCAAATGTGATACATCACTGAGCAGGGGTTCACTTTATTATTTCATTAGTGGCGCACCATAATTTAAAATTTCAAGACGAATAATAAACCATCTCAGCAAATATGTTGTGATGGGGAGATAATAGCAGTTATCGGGAGGCGTTTTGCATTCGTCCATCGGAAGAGGCTAAACATACCCAGACCAAAGATGATCCCATAAAAGTGAGCAAAACAAAAAGATATATAGAAAGCAGGGTGAAGTGGTTTAATATCTTGCGCATGCACAGTCTCATTTCATGATAATGTTTTCATGAAGGTATAGGGCCTCGTTGTCGACAAATAACCGCAAAAAGATCAGAGGCATCAGAGGGTTTCTTTTCAAGGAAAGCAACGATGTGAAACGCTAAAAATAAAATCTTCGCAGACCGTTATTAAAGAAGAAGAAAGAGAAAAATGATATGTGGAAACAGGCTAAGAGCACAGACGGCGGCGTCGTTTGCTATTCCTTCTTTCTTTTATCGTGGTGGTACAAGAGTCTGCGCAATGTGTGTGCTCTCTTGCCGCATCTTCATTGAGCCATGCCCATTGCGCCGAGATTATTTCATTCATTCACATTCCCGTTCAGAGCGTCTTTCATTCCGCACTCCCCCTATTTCTACCTTGCCTTTTTTCTTCACGAGCGATACTTTTTGATGGGTGCATTTTGACGAATCTCTATCTTTCGAGTGATTTCTCACACTTCTGGAGGTTGTAGGTGACCATTACAGCCGGTATGCTCAACCTCAAGAAGCGGGAGAAATCAACAGGCAAGAAAAAAGACCCATGCCATCCTTGAAGCAGCCCATACACTACATAGGAAAGCAGCGAAAATGCAGTAAGTCAGGATTGAGGGAAGAAAATGAGGAAGGGACCAGTAAGGATGGAAGCCATTCGAGAAAGAGTGAAATAAAAACGAGCAGCCCTATGATCCATGTCACTCCGTGAAAGTGAAACACGAAGACCACGTATGAAACGCATCTGTTTAAACGCACACAATAATATTAAGCCCAAACAACAGGCCAAGCGGGGCTACATTACTGCACGGAAGAGAATAAGTACCGTCCAGTCGTGGAGATTTATTTGACCAGGGGCAAGAAGGAAAGGAGTTAAACGAAAAGGAAAGTCAAAAAAAGGATCCTCCTCATTTCATAGTGAGCCTTTTTGTGGAGGCGCGACCACAAAATGCGAGGCCTTCGCGCGCTCCCAGTACCATATTTCCCCAGAGGGGTGCTATGGGAGTGGAAGCGGCGAAGCAGATGAAGTTGGAATCACTTCATCTTAAATATAGGGTTAGGGTACGTAGAGCAGAGTCCATTTTATAAAAAGAAACGAATTCCATTCATAAAACTTCCTAAGTGGCACTTTTCCTCATCGATACTTCTTTCCAATCCACCCCTTTTTCTCTCCTACTTATTCTATGTTCCTTCCTTCATGTACAGGCGACATGGGTTCCATGCTGTGTCGCTTCTCTCAATGACATCTAACTCCAGAAGAGAGAAAAAAATAAAGCAAACTCAAGCTCACGCCGTCCGTGCTCTTCGCCTCATCGAAAGGATCCTACCCACCAGTAGAAAAATCTGATGAGGATATATGTGCAACCTTAAGATATGTGAACTTTGACGTGAAACTCAGGACTTTCAAAGCTAAATGTATGCTTCTTCCTTTTCGCTCGATCCGTCACTTTTCCCTTTCACCCCAATAGCTCTATCTCAACTACGAACTATTTGTCTCTCAATCAGGCGAACCTTCGAATTGAAAACAAGATTAAATCATTAAGGTGCTGTGCAATATTTCGCTTGAAACATTTTGTTGTCGATATTGAACTCTCGCCTCTCCACTCTTAAGTGCATGTTAGCATGCAAAGAATAGTTGGAGTCCATCCTCTGCTATTGCCGATGTATACACATCACTACAACTCTAGCAACCACCTTTCCTCACGCAGCACTCTCTTTCCCCCTAAAACCACCAATGACAAGCACGTAATCGGATAAACCCTATAGCTTACGAATAAAATGCACATATGATTTTACAACAGCACAATTCAGCCCCATGTCTTTTTTTCTGTTACCTAAGCTTTCCCCCTTCGCTAGCCCCTTCCATAATACCATTTTCATCTGCATCACTATGTATATCAAATCACGCACACATACAGATAAATTACCTTGAATAGGAAAACTAGTAATGAAAGTAGTTAAAGAGAAGCGATATGCCCATCACGACTCATTTACCAGTTTCACGCCATACCCTTAGCAACTTGTAAGTGAACAGCAATCGCAACACCTTTCACAAATCCACACAGAAAAAAAAATATGTTATAGTGAAAAGGATGGAGAATAAAATCATAGAAAAATGCATCAAATCAGAAAAGAAGCCTATGAAAAATAACCCCCGCTTGAATTCAATTTGTACCTTTTCTACAGAGATCCATCCTTCGTTTCTAAGCTATCACCTCAGGGGAGTCCTCTCTACATTCTCGCCCTCTGCCTTTTTTCTCTTACACAGGAGCTTAATTCTTCCTATGATTACCTCAGAACGATTCGTAAATCAACTTATGGCTATTGACAATGTTGGCAATTTTAAAAAATAAACAAATGATTTGTGGATGAACGAGATCTTCCCCACTGCACTCATGGGAGGTGGTAAAGATATTGCATGAACACACCAGCATACACGACCACAATGCCATGATCAGATTTACGAGCACACGCTGCATCAACAAAAATAGTAAAGTGATAGATAATACAGCTACTTCGAAGCACGTAGAAAAAAACTTTACCTACGCATGGTATTACATATAGTCCGCATACATTTCCGAATCCTTTTTGCGTTATCCCTAAACTTTGGTGAACTGTATTTTAATCGAGATAGAAGTAGATAGCCAAATACAAAAAGAAAGAAGCAGAATGATAATGATGAATCCATTTGAGACCAGGACAGATAACTTATAGATAAATATATGTTCTTTTATCAAAAGGTTTAGAGATTTAACGCGTGGATTTATAGTATTGCTAATATTACAATTAGGCTATTAAGCAAAAGGGGAAAAAATAATATAAACATTTTAATTGAAACAAAAGTGAAAACCAACGGTTTCTTCTAGAAAGGACATAAGGGAGGCTGGGGGGGGGGGGGGGAGGAGTGATACAACGGTAATTTTGTCAAAATTGCAAGGACAGACCTTTTATGTTCTGCTCCCCTAGCCCCTTTACACAAATGTTAGCACGCGATTAAAAGGAAAAATTATGAGCAAAAAATGCCATCCCCTTACGCTCTAGCCTCTATATAATTCAAGAATGAGAAAGGTATATCTTACATCTTTGCAACTAGTTATATGTATGTATGAGTGTATATGTGTATATATACATATACATTACGATTATTATTTTTGGTAAGTTTAGCCATGCTTATAGTGGTAATGAATCCATGCCTCCACAATAAAGGGGGGAAAAACGAAGCTGGGGGGATGTGGACAACAAAGAAACGTCGAGCCCAAAAGGTGTTTCGTAAATAGTCAGAAAAGTAAATGAATACAATACAAATCTACTAAAAGCAAACCCAATATTGAACCTTAAGGGAAAAATAAGACAGAAGAGTGTATGGCCATGCGTAGACATACATCACCATGTTAGCGTATATACTCCCTGCTGTTTCGTTTACTTTTATAAGAAATCCAGTATTATTGTTGTTAACAGGCACAAAAATACGTGTTGAAAGCAGAACAGGAAGCATAAGAACTCGCCTGAGCAGGAGTTATGCTAGTAATTTTAATCCCAACGTAATGTCACACATATTTGCGTATTGGTAGATTATGTGTTGCGTATCACACATACATGCAGAGGGGGCGTAGACTAATTCACATAAAATTAACATGAAGCACCTTTGATGGTCCATATAGGTTTATAACGTTCCACTAGAAGAACCACAAAATTGATTATCATAATATTACGCGAACCAGAGCATGAGAGTGGATTCAACGTCGTATCCCTTCCCTACTTAAATAGCCCGCCGGATTCTCGAACTTAACCTTTATCCCTTGTTTTTGATTTCAAATATTATAATGCGTGCAAAAAAAAAAGAAATAACTTGTCCTAACCCTTTTTACAAGATAATTTATTGCCTCTTCCTTCAACCACGGTGTTCCATGAATTCTGAGTTCGTTTCTCATTCATGATGAACACTTATACTTATCAAAATATTTTTTGTTCTGGGATGTTCCACTCCCTGCCATCAATAAAAATAGGGAAATCAAACTAGAAAACGATTTTATATTGTAATTCCACTACATCGTGCTTTTGAGATATTCTTGTGATTACTCCATCAAGGAGAGAACCATACACTCGTATATGCATATGTATATTTTTATATCCATATACATATATATGGATATAAATAAATATACATATATATGTCTGTATAAAAGCATATACGCGCGACCCGTAGAAGCCCTTCTCGCCTTTGATGCGGTCCCCAATTCATATCGACCTGCCCGACGACGCCCCTGCGCGGCATCCGAGATGACCAAACGAAGAACAATCGGGGAACCCCACGTGACGTCGTCTTCAACCTTCGGTTTGATGATGCCGCGAGGCTGGAGAGGAGGGTATTCACGACCCCCTCCCCCTCCTGCGTTTCTTTTTCTCCCCCTCACCCGACCTCTTGCGCGCTATCGCTCAGCCCACATCGCACGCTGCTCGTGGTTTCCTTCGTCTCCTTCCCCTCCTCGAGCGCCATCGCCGTGGTCTCGTGCACGGCGACCGCGCACTCGTCGAAGCGCTGGAGCACCTCGC